TTTTTTTTTGGCTTTTTTTTTTTTTTTTTTTATTCGGTAATAAATTGACGGCGCCGGCTGTGGAAACGGTTAAGGCGTTCGCCGGCAGATTAAGCTTCGCACAATGATTCTTTATATTTTGGGGGTTTGAACGGAAACGGAGGCTTTGATTTCTCGATAGTGATTTTTGGGTGGGTTGTTTTTTTTTTGTGTGTGTGTGTGTGGGGGGTTGGTTGTTGGGTTTTTTTTTTTTCCGCTGCGGCCGGCCAAGCCGGCACGAGCCGCCGGTAATTGGCGTTTAAATCCGCAGAGATAAAGAACGGGGCCTGACGCGCGCTCGGGGCCGGCTGGTGATGTAATTTTTAATGGCCTGAATTCATTGATTTCTGCTTTCTCCCTGCCGACCGGGGCCGGATTTGAGAAAGCTCTTAAATTTTGCGAAAGAAAAAAAAACCCAAAAAAGGTGCTGAGCCGGGCGCCGAGGCTGCGCCGCCGGAGGATGCCCTCTCTTGCGCCGGGGGCTCCCGCTGCTTTCCTTATTCCTTCCCGATTTGGGGAAGCTTAATTAGGGTAACGTGCTTCGTCAGGCTTTTGGTGGTGCTCGGGAAAATAAATTTAAATTCTTTTTTTTTTCCTTTTTTTTTTTTTTTGTTTACCCCCCCCCCCTCCGTATCTCCGTTCACGTTTCGGGGCGGCACCGCTCCCCTCCGGACCTCGGCAACCTTCGGTTTTCCCTCTGCCACCTTAAAAAAACCCCAAAAAATATTAAAAAAAGAAGGCTGATGTGGTTCTGAGCTGCGTAAAACATCCGATTTTAGGACTTTCCTTGCTCGGGCATCTCCTCATCCCGGCTCGGAGGATGGGATTTAGGGAGCGAGGCATCCGAAAGGGCGTCTTTGCCGGAGCACGGCGCGAGCAGCATCTCCCGGAGAGGGTCGGGGTTTGCTCTCCGGCTCTTCCTCCCTCTCCGTACCCGCTTCACTCTTCTGCGGTTGGTTGTTTTTTTTATTTTTTCAGTCTTTATTTTTTTCTTTCCCCCCCCCCCTTCTCACCCAGCCGACCTCGGTTCCCTCCCGGCGTCTCCCCGACGGCGGCTGCTCCTCACCGGGTGGCTTTTCCCTCCGTCCTCGCGGCATCGCCCACTTTGAGGCAGCGGCAAACTGTGATTTTTATTATCTTTTTGCAGAGGTTTGGGCTTTACCCGCTTCCCGCTTTGGGAATATCAATTTGGATTGAAAATAACAATATTTTTCCTTTCCGGAGCTGCGCGACTCCATCGTGAGCATCTCGTAGCGGTCCGTGTTTTCGGATGGGATTTAACCTGGATAATTTTCTGCCGCCCCTGTACACCGCGGTGGGTTTTTTTGGTGCCGGTGGGAGAGGAGGTGGTCCGCTCGGGAGCGGGCGTTTCGGCTAGGGAGCGTCCGGCGGGGCCGTAAATCCCTGCGGAAAGGCTATCCATGAGATAACGTCCCAGATCCATGGCCGCGTCTTCCCTCCCCGCCTCCAAACTCCGGTGAAACCGGGAAAATCAGGGAGTAGGTGTGCGCAGAGCTTCGTGGCCGCGTGACCCCCTCGTTTTGGGGTGAATTGGCTTAATTAGGGCAGGTGAGGGGTTGGGGCGACGAGGTCTGCTCGTTTATCTGAAGGAAACCGGGTTGATGGCGGCGGCAGTGGGGAATTGGGTGCGTAAAAGCCATTTTTATGGTGACATGAGGTTTCGGCGTGGCTATCGCGGCAGGTGAAGTTTGCGTTCGCGCTGGGCTCGAAGCCTCGTTAGTCATCTCCTAGCCACGGACGACTTAATTGGTCTGGACCAGCGCTTGGCCAACCGGGCTGGCACTCAACGGTTGGTCTTTGCTCCTTCGCTGAGCGATCTGTACGGCTTTGACATCCTTTGGCCTCGTCTTCGCTGACTCATTTGGATGTTGCCCCAGTTTATTTGCCTTGAACGTGAGTTTTGAGTTCGTTAGCCGGCGGGGCAGGGTGATTAACGCTCTGGTACCTTCTCGGTGAGGCGGCCGGTGGCAGAGCCGTTAACCGCGTGGGTTGGGCGGGATGGACGGCTTCATCCTCCCCGCGGAGACGTTTCTGGTTGGGTTTTGCTCTGGTTGGGTTGAACGCGTCTGGGGCTGTTGGTGGCAACACACCAGGGAAGGGCTCCGCTTGGTCCATAAATATAGATCTATACGTGTGCACGTATACGTTGGTGGAAGTCAACGGCTCAACGTCCACGTGGAGATCAGCAACAAGCGGTGTCCCTCAGGGGTCTGTACTGGGACCAGTTCTGTTCAATATCTTGATCAATGACCTACCTGGTGGGATTGCAGGTGACGCCAAGCTGAGCGGTGCCGTTGGTACCCTCAAGGGAAGAGCTGCCGTCCAGAGGGACCTGGAGATATCGGCCAACGGCAACCTCAGGAGGTTCAACAAGGCCGAGCACAAGGTCCTGCAGCTCAGTGGGGGCCACCCCAGTCCCGATATGGGATGGGTGGTGGGATGGATGAAGAGATAGAGAGATGGATGGATGGAGGGATGGAGAGATGGAGGGATGGATAAAGGGTTGGATGGAGGAATGGATGGACAGATGGATGGAGGAGAGATGGAGGAATGGATGGAGAGATAGAGGGAGGGATGGATGGAGGAGAGATGGAGGGATGGATGGAGAGAGAGGGAGGGATGGATGGAGAGAGAGAGGGAGGGATGGATGGAGA